GTATTTTAAGTGTGTTTTTTGAGCAGCTTGAAGTTCTTTTTAATGGTCCGGTTTTAAGGTGCGATGGAATGCGGTGCTGACCAAGTGGATCACGGGTTCAGAAAATGGTACTATTCGTATTTGGGTATGTGATGATTTTTACAGAAAGAAACCGATATCTTTCATTTGCTGAATCAATAAGCTGGCTATTTGCTGACATCAAATGACGTCATGCAAAAAACAAAACAAAAAAGTCTGCAAAGCAGCCCCTATTTTTGCGTGCGTCAAGAACGCCAACGCGATCAAGCCAAAGTCTTGGAGCGAAGACAAAACTAGAGAGTGAGATTAAGGAGAGAAACCTCGTGCCTTGAAAAACCGATTTTTAGAAGGAAAACCGAATGTCTCTTTCTTTCACTTGAAGTCTAGAAAAGACACTGAAAAAAAAAACAATACTCACCATCCAAAAACACAAATTAAGCAAAAATTGTTTTCTGCTACACCAAAAATCCACTGTGGCTAGCACCTGTTTTTACTACTAACTTGTTTCCAATCCACTCATGACAGAGAGCAGCTGGAATGGCCTGCGATCTAGTTCTCAGTGCCCAAGGAGCAGTGTTGGCACTTTGCATCGACCAAGGAGTGCAAGAAATTATTAGATCTATTAGGTGAGAAGAGACGCCATATTTACGAGGCGTATAACGTGTTCTGAGACCAGCGTGAAACCAATGTGGCCAATCAAACCATTTAACCAATCAGAATGCGAAGCTAGTACGTCTAGCCAATGCTAAGCGCGGGGAAAAGCGCGGGTTCAAGGAAGTCTCGATTGGTTTTGTTTTTTCTTCTGAATGATGGAGAAATCAAAGCCAATCAAAATAGCCCAAACATTTGCGTAGTTCCCACTTTAAGGTGATTTCCTAGTTTTGCACTGCGCATCTCTTACTGCGCATAACAAGATGGCCGCCGTAAAAAAGAGCATGTGAAGTAATATTATTAAAATGAAGTTGACTGATGAGAAACGCTATTGGAATTTTTCAAAAAGCATGTAGTACTATAATCCCGTTGAGTTACAGTTGACAGTTGGATTAACATATTGTATCCGTTCAAAGGAGGCTACACGATGCGTTATTACTGGTTTGCAACCACGTGACAAGGCGGCCATGTCCGACATTGCCGCCTTGTCACGTGGTTGTACAATAAAATTTTTTCTCGAAGAATTTGCATGAAAATAGAGTTTAGTTCCAGAGGAGCGAAATGCTTTTGTTCTTGACCACTAACATGGCCGCCGTGATGTCACGTAAACTAGCAATTCAGCCTTAAGGCTTCTCTTAAAGTTCAGTAAACGGTCAAGTTAGGATTTGAGTCATAGAATTCAAAGTTACAATACCGTTTGATAGAACCTAAAGGCTAAATTATTATGAGCAGCACCACCGTAATGTAGTGCAAGCAGGTCACCTAGAATATTAACAACTGGCCTTAGCTGTTTGAAAGACCGGTAAATAGTGTTATCTACAGGGTTCTTAAAGATGATTTTTGGGTGGGGATGTGCCGCTGGGACCCTTGAACTCTTAGCCTATACCAGAGCTAGTTCAGCTAAATTTTGCTACCCCGCACTAGACGTTACTTCCCAACCCCCCTCCCCCCAATCCTAGAGTAGGTGTTTTCCAGAAACTACTGAGAACACTAGCACAATCCAGCCAAACCAAAACCGTTTTGATTTTTTTATATTTTTGAGTGGCAATTCCCTGTTTTCCTAGTCTACACTAAAATCTTCAACCAATTGATCAGTTTCCGGGAAAATGATACCCTCTTCTAGACCCAAACTCTCTGATTTATATACCCTATTCCAGAGTAAACTGCTTGAAAACCATACCCTTCACAGCGGCACATTCCTATATAGCACATTCCTATAGTAGTACCCCCCCCCCCACCCCCCCCCCATAACCCCCCCACTCGGCTCATCCCCCGCCACACCCCCCCTAGTGGCGTTTTCCCATCCGGACTGCACTCTCACACTCCTCGCAAGGCAATATCACACGGGACATAGACTTGTGGTTTCTCTCAGAGGTCGTGACGCCCTACTCCTCCTCATTACTCCCCCTCCCTATACTGAGCCTATCAC